TTCTGCCAGGCCGCGCGGGGGGAGGCCCCCCCCCCCCTGTGGGCGTCGGTGCGCTGGGAGTTCCGCACCGCGCGGCACTTGTTGCCCCTCCTGGCCGCGCACCTCGCCGCCCCCTGGCACCACGAGGTCTCCGCGTCCGACGCTTCCCCCTGGGGCGCGGGTGTCTGCGCCAGGGAGACCGACAGCATCGCGGCGGCCGCCCTGGGACGCACCGCCGAGAGGTGGCGGTTCCACTTCGACGACGCCATCAGCGCCAGGGCCCACGCTCTGGAGGGCGACGGGGTGGCTACCACCCTGCGTCGGCCCGCGGCCCTGCCCAGCGAGGAGGCTAAGGACCTGGACAAGCAGTTCGGTGAGATTCCGGCCTCGTTCACGCAGGACCCGAGCTGGAAGATCGCGCTGTCTTTCCCTCGGCGGGAGAGGCGCGACATCTACTACACAGGGGCTCGCCCTGTCCGCCTCCCTGCGTCGCGCACTCCGCTCCCGGGGGGCCTTCGGTCGCCGCCTAGCGCTGCTCGTGGACAACCCGCCCCTGGCGCTCGCCGCGGGCAAGGGGCGCGGCCCGGCGGAACAGCTCCGCAGCGTGTTGCGAGAGCTTTGCGCGTTGGCCTTGGCCTGCCGCCTGCAGCTGCACGTGCGCTGGGCGCCCTGCGTGCTCAACCCCGCCGACCGCCCCCCCCGCGGGCACCTCTCCATCGAGGCCCCCGGGGTCGCCAAGGGGGCCGACGCCGCGGACGGCGTCGGGGCGCGGGCGAGCGTTGACCAGGCGGGCGCCCCACCTGTGTGGGACCCCACGCCGGGTCGGGGGGGCGCTGCTGGGGCGCCTGCTGGCGGCGGGGGCGGTGGACAAGCAGGGGCTCACTTACCTGGAGCAGAGGTCCATCTCGAGACCTGTGCCGGCGGAGCACCTCCGGCGGACTCAGACCGTCGTGGCCCGGGCCTCCGTGAAGCGCCAGGACTGGAAGGACTCGGCGGAGTTGGACTACATCCACCTCCTGCACTTCCTACATGAGGCCAGGCGAGGCAGAGTCGCTGGTCGGGCTGCCCCTCGCCGAGGCCGTCGCGGAGGGCAGCGGCAACGGCGGCGCCGCGGCGCTGGTCCCCTTCCTGAGCAAGACGGGGGTGTGGGGGGCATGACCGCCCCCCTGGACGCCTTCGGACTCCTCGGCCGTTGCTGCTTGCCGTGCGAGGGCGATGCCGATCCAGGAGGAATCGGGCGCGGTGCTTCTCTCGGGGCCTGGGGCTGCAGATGCGCGCGGCGGCGGTGGAGCTGGGCACCGGCATGGCCTCTCCCTATCAGCTGCTGCGGGGCGGGGCCTCCGACGACCTCGCGGTACGGTGGAGGTCCGCCCTGGAGATCCAGGCCCAAGGGGGCTGGGCAAGCCCGCAGCCCTTCCTCCGCTATGCCAACCCGGACAGGGTCTCGGCGGAGATGGCGAAGTCCCCCCCCGGGCGCGCTGGAGCCCGACGAGGCGATGGGCGCGGCGCTGGCCGCCATCTTCCTGGAGGGGGCGGCGATCCCGCCAAGCCCGGCGCGGCCCGCCGCCGACTTCTCGAGGACCAGAAAAGTAGTATGAGAGGGGCGAAGCATCTTGTGAAGGCCCAGGCAGTTTTTCCTGGAACTTTTTGCCGGGGCCGGGGGGCTCTCGGCCCAGATCAGGATTCTTGGCCTGGCCGCGCCTCCTTTGGACTTTGACCAAGGGCGTCGGCCTTGGCATGATCTGAGCCTCCCCGAAGTCCAGCAAGTGGTCCTCGGATGGCTCAAATCCCGGGTGGTCCGGGCCCTCTGGTTGCGGACCCCCTGTGCCTCCTGGGGCCGGGCCCGACACGGGCCCCCGGGGACCTCCTGGTGCTCCCTCAGGTCGGCGGCCCGTCCCCTTGGGCTCCAGGATCTTTCCTGCAGGGCCCTCCAGACGGTGCGCTCGGGTAATTCACAGATGCGATTCTCAGTGCAGGTCATGTCTTTGCGTCGCCGTCTCTCTACCCCGGTGTGCCTTGAAAATCCAGGGGCATCGTTTTTGTGGGCGGCCCCACAGGTGGCCTCTCTCCTTTTGAAGCCTGATTGCAAGACCTTTATGGTGGACATGTGCTCGTTCGGGGCCCCGTGGCGCAAACGCACCGGCGTCGTGTGCTGGGCCCCGTTCCACCCCCCCGTCTCGCCTCCTTGCCTCTGTCAAGGCCGTGGTGGTGTGTGCAGCTACTCGGGCAAACAGCACATTGCCCTCTCTGGCGTCGACCAGGCTTCTGGAATTTTGTGGGCCCGGCGCGCCGAACCCTGCGGCAACAAATTCTGTAGTTTGTTTAGCCGCATCATTCAGCAGCAATTCGGTTGGTTGGGCTTCAATCGATTATCAACGTTGGTAAGTGAATAGCGTAATGTTTCTCGGCCTTGCGCGCGTGGGCTTGCGCCCTCCTGTGGGCGCCCAAAGCCGCGCCACCATTCGGGAAATGGGTACTCTCACAGCACGCTGTTTTGTTTTCTTCGTGGACGGCTCGGCGGCCAACCGCGCCCCAGGCCAGGTCCTCCGGCTCGCCCAGGCCCCTCGCCCACACACATGAAAATTTCATGTTGTGGCATGGCAGAGCTTTGAGATGGTCGCGTGTCACATTTCATCTAATTGGCGCCAGAATGCCGCGAGGGTGCATCCTCCGCAACCTTTCTGGCTCAGTTCTCTCGCCCCTTCCCCCCCGACCGTTCGTGTCTTCGCTTACTCTCACAGCACGCTGTTTCGTTTTCTTCGCGGACGGCTGGGCGGCCAACCGCGCCCCAGGCCAGGCCCTCCGGCTCGCCCAGGCCCCTCGCCCACACACTGGAACATCTCATGTTGTGGCATGGCAGAGCTTTGAGATGATGATGATGACGATGATGTTGATGATGATGATGGTAATCATGATGTTGATGCTGGCGATGATGGTGTTGACGACGATAATGACAGTGATATTGATGCGGCTGTTGTTGATGATGGTGATGATGGTGGTGATGACAATCGTAGTTATGATAATGAGGGTGGCGGTCATGATTATGATCACGATGATGATAACTATGTAGATGGCGATGTTGATGATGACGGCGATGGCGATGATGGCGACGACGACAATGACGATGATGATACTGATGATTGCAATGGCGATTGTGATGATGGTGGTGATGGTGATGATGATGGTGATAGTGGTGGTGATGATGATGATCATGGTGATGACGATGGTGATGGTGATGGTGATGATGGTGATGATAATGGTGATCACTATGGTGGTGGTGATGATGCTGATGCTGATGGCGAGGGTGATGCCAAAACCGACAACGTTAACGGAAAATGGCCAAGGGCCGCGCTGATTTTCCGGATCGGCACAAGCTTGGTCTCCCCACCCATTCCGCCATCCTATCCATAGGGTGCTTCCAGCAACGCGCTGTCCAAAGAAATCCGCACGGACTTACGAATTATTGGCATGAGTTCGTGAATTGAGTGACTGAGTAAGTGTGTGGTTCTGGACTGATTGCTTGACTGATTGACCTGGTCGCATCCGTTAGGCGACTGTGTTATTTTATGGTCGCCAATCGTGCAACCAGCAACATGCAACTTTATTCTCGGCCGCCGAGTGTGCAACTGATGGCGCAACCACTAGTATTCTCGGCCGCCGAGTTCGCAACCTATGGCCCCACCCATGGCAGTCCGTTTCATCATCGGACGCCGAGCGCACAGCGGATGGCGAAACAAATAGCAGGCCGTGTTCGCAACATCAGGCCGTTTCATTCTCGGCCGACGATTGCGCAATATAGGGCGCAATTCATGAATGGAGCAAGGCCCAATCCGTGCATCGCGAAACGTATGGCGCAACCCATGGATGGCGCCACGTGGGGTAACCCATGGCGCGCCACATTGGTGGCACATACCCATGGCAGCTTCAGCACGGGAACGCCCGATTAATGCTCGCCGCTTGGGCTGGCGGTGGTCGCGACATGCGCGTTTCTGGACTCAGCAGGCCTGCTCGGAGGACACCAACCATGCGCCCATACCGATCCAGGCCAGGCCCATCCTGGGCCAAGGAACGGTGTGCACGCCTTCCTGGCCAAGGCAAGAGGTCGGCTCCGGCTCTGGGCCCAAGGTCCGCCTGGCCAGGACCGGGTGTGGGTGCCTGGCCGGCGCCCCCGCGCCCTGCGCGCAGCTCGCGAGGAGCTTTCCCGCCCGCAGCCGCCCTCCGCTCCGCCCCGGACGGGCCCCGCCCCGCGCGGCCTCGTGGCCGCCAGCCGTTCGGAGGCCCGGGAGGCGTTTGCGCCCACGCGGGCCGCCGCCCACGGCGCCGCCGTCCAGCGCGGGGCGGGCCCCGCGCGCGCGCCGCTTCACGGGGGCACACCGCCGCCCTTGGGGTCCCCGTCCTCGTCCTCGGGCCAGGGCGCCCGGCGGCCCGGCCTCTCCGCCGCGGGCGCCGCCGCCGTGGGCGCCGCCCCGGGCGCGAAGGCAGCCTCGGCGGCGGCGCGCGCCGCGCCCGCGCCGCCCAGGCGCCAGGGCGGCGCGGCGTCCGCGCTCGCCGCCCCCGCGGGGCCGCTGCGCCCAAGGCGGGCGTCCAGGGAACTGGACGCGGACGCGCTGCTGGCCGCCGAGCTGGGCTTCGCGCCACCGTCTTCCGCGCCGCGGACCCCGACGCCGGCGGCGGAGCTCGGCGACAGCCACGGCCTCTCGACCGCCGCGCAGGGGCCCGCCAGCCACCAGCACGGCGGTCGCGGCCCCGCGAGCCCACAGATAGGGCTCTTCGACCCCGACCTCGCCCTCGCCGTGCTCGTCGCGCAGCAGGGTATGACCGCCGACGCGATGCTGGCGGCGGCGCTGGCAATGTCGGAGGTGGAGGAGGATCGGGCAAGGCTGGGAACAGGACAAATCGTTCCGGAGCGCTTTGAAACGGACATGGCGCGCCAGATACATCCTTCAGAACCCCCAGATCACAGAGGTGCCCGATTTATCCTGGTCCGATGCTGTCCCTGTCTTGGCCTCGACTACAAGGAGGAGCGGCGGCAGCTGGAGACGGCCATGGCGCTCAGCCGCAGCCAGGGCGCGCTGCTTCCGGGCTGGCCAGCCTCGGGGCTGCCGCAGGACGGCGGCGAGGAGGCCCAGGTGCGGCGCGCGCAAAGCCAGTCCCTGCGCGAGGCGTGGCGCGCGCAGTTGCCGGTGTCCGTGGTGCCCACCAGGTCCGCCCAGGAGGCGCGCGAGTGCCCGTTGTGCATCGGCGCGCTCGCCCCCGGGGACCGCGTGCTGCACCTGGACTGTCTGCACTCCTTCCACGAGGAGTTCGAGGCAGAAGAAACATCACAAACGCTGATTCACGAAGGTGTAGCAAAGTTAGCCCTGCTTGCCCCATGCATGTGCTGTCTTCTTGTCCTCTGCTTCTCTCCTCTCACTTCCCTCTGCCTCTGCAGCAGTTTCGGACCAGGGTGGACCGCTTGGCGTTGCGCAATGTAAGAAGAATGGGAGGGGAGCGGGCTGACATCAACTTTGGAGCTCCGCGCGGATTTCTCGGATCAGCGCTGGGCCCCCCCCGGCGGCGCCTCCTGCGCCGTCCTTAACGCGCTTCGCTTCACCTTCAGAGAGGGGTTTCGGAGGCGGACCTCCGAAAGTATGTTTATGTAGTCTGTGTGTTCTTCTAGAGGAGTGCGTCGAGCCGTGGATCGCGAAGCACTCGAGCTGCCCCGTGTGCAAGTTGGAGTTCCTCGAGCCCGAGAGTGGTGTGATCTGAGAGCATCACATTGCCCACGGCCCTGGTAGAGGACTTGCGCCAGGCGTCTCCTCCTCTCACCCGGCCTCCCTTCCTTCGCAGCTCATTGAACTCAACGCGCAGTTTCGGCAGCCATCCCACGATCAGCGGAGTCCCCAGCTGGACCTCGGGGAATTGCCTTGCACCTGCAACAGCCCAGAGGGAGTCCCTCGCATCCCTAGGAAAAGGACAAACATAGACTTCCGATGGATCGGTTTTCGTTTCAGGTGTGTACCGTTTCCCCTAGGGCAGCTCTCGATCTGGGAACATCATTTGGCGGTCTTGGTGCCCGAAACGGGACTTGGGGAAAAGTGTTCGGCATTGAAAAGATCACGACGTCGGAGGTTTGGGGAAGAGTCCGTTTCGGGCAGCTTGGAAGGCGTTTTTCGCACCATAATCCGTGCCGTCCCGATTTGATTGCGACATTCTGGAGGGAGGGTCTGGTCGCCGCCAGGCCATGCTTAGCTGAACCTCTGGTTCTGTATCAAAGTAGTGCCAGCCTCGTCCGATCGCGAGGCGGCACTTCCTACTTTTCCGTCCTCTGGATGTGAGCCGAAAGGCTAGCGACGTCAGAGAACGGAATTGATTGCATGGGCGTTGGCGCATCTGATGCCCGCAGAAGGCCGCGCGTCAGCGCCTTCTTCTGCGTAATCATGGTGCCGCGTTGGCGGCCCGCGTCATCAAGCCGCCGCTCCAGGTCACCGCGTCATCCTGCGCAATCCCGTCTCTCCGTCGCCCAGGTGGTTTTGCCGTGTCTTCGGTCGCTGCGGAGCCTCGAGGTTGTGGGCCTGACCCTTTCCAGCACGCTGGCGCCCAGACGGGAGCTCCAGTTCTGCATCCAGTTTGTCTTCCACGGCTCGGCCTTTGGTTCCGAGCCGAGGGCACAAGCAACATAGTCTTAACGCTCCGCGTGCCCCCACCCGAGCACCCAGGCACGTTGGCCAGAGGCCGCTTGGATGGTTCCTTGGGTCTCTTGAGGTTTCTCTTAAGGGCCTCTTAGAGGCATCGCTGGGCGTCTTGAGGGCCTCCTGGTGGCTTTGGGGGGGCGTCCTGGGTGCCTCTGGGTGGCCTCTTGGGGCCAACTGGGAGGCTATATCGATCGAATAAAGGGGGGCCCTAAGTAACGTCTCTCTTTCGCAGGAGGCCAACATTGGCCCAACAATCAAGGATGCGGGCCCTCTCGCAAGCCGTCTCGCTCACTCCCACCCGCCCTCCCGACACGTAAGTAGCACCCGAGCCTCAGTATGTTCAGCGGTCGTCTTTGGATGGGCACAGCTACTGGGAACTAAAGCAGACCTCATATACGAGGCGAGGAACGCCACGCGTGACAGGCGCGCCACACGCGCCAAGTGCGCCAGGCACCCCTAGGCCCCAAGCGTGCCAGGCACGCTGGTGCGCCAGATGCGCTACTTGCTCCACGTGCGCCATGTGTGCCGCATGCTCCAGCCGCGCCAGATGCGCCACGTTCGGGGTACGCGCAGAGTGTGCCAGGTACGCCCGCGCACGTCACAGCTCACTGCGGCTTCCATCCTCGTCGAGAACCACTGCGCAATCGCGGCGGAGTGGCCATCATGGTATCTGGTGAGCCTGCACAAAGCAGGCAATATGCCAGTACCCCCGCCATCCCTGCCAAAAACACATGGACAGTAATCGCGGGGTGTCCGCGCATATTCTAGATTTAGCCGCGGAGTGCGCTTTGGCAGGCAATATGCTGGCCCCCCGCCGCCCTTGTCAAGAAAACAAATACAACATGCTCGCGGGGCCCACGAACATGATCAAAGATTTTGCCCCAAAGAGTATTTTGTATTGGGAAGGCCTCACGGCCAGTGCCGCCGACCATGGAGACGACGGCGTTGACCTCGGCGAAGAAGATGATGGGGAAGGCGCCTCTGGTGGAGGGGGAAGACGACACAGATGAGGCGAAACAGGTGCAGACACAGAGAGGGGGGAGGAGGAGGAGGAGGAGGAGGAGGAGGAGGAGGAGGAGGAGGAGGAGGAGGAGGAGGAGGAGGAGGAGGAGGAGGGGAAGGAGGAGGAGGAGGATGCGAATCTGACCCCCCCACTGGGGACCCCCCCCCGCTGGGGAAGGGACAAAGGGAAGGGGCTTTCCTTTGACGTGATGAGGACGTGGATGGAATTCAATCAAGCTGCGAACTCTTTCCCCGAACGAGAAAGGGTGCTCTCTCTCCCTCTCCCCCGACGGGAGAGGAGGATGGGAAGGAGAGGACGAAAGAAAGCTACCCGTCGACGGGACTGGACAGACCCCCCACACACGCTGACAGGGTCGGCGGATTTTTGTTGATAGGCATGGTGGGGGAGGTGTTGGCATTGGGTGCCCGCATTGGTTCGGGTTGGCTGCTTGTCGCTTTAAGGAGGGGGCGTATATCCATACGGGACAGTGAGAAGAGGAATGCTCTAAACCACTGACGCCCTGAAGGGTTGACTGGGATACATTCGTTCACTGAGCGCGGGGGCCTCAGCGAGGGGTCCACCTCGTCCTCGTCTGCGCACCGCGCTGGGGGGGTTGAGCGCCACCGCGCGCCAGAGTCGCTTCGAGGTTGTCGGCGGGGGATGGGGCTCCCCGGGCTCCCCCGGCGTGTTGCTGCGGAGCTCCGAGGAATGCATTCTTCTAATTGCGCTTCCAGGCGTCCCCTGCTCTCAACACCAGTGATGTCGGGGGCGGGCTCGCGGACGGATCAGTGCGCGCCTTGGTGGGATCCTTTCACCCTCGTCCTGCCGGCAGGCCTACGAAGGGAAGAAGCAAAGCCGCCATTCCCCCGCTCAGCGGTCGTTCATGCCCGCCCGCGCGCTTCAAGCGAGAACTGGTGGCTCTAGGGCGGCCGCGGCGTAGAATCTGCGCCGGGGCCCCCGCGTAGTGAAGAGCCATCCCCGAGGTGCCGCGCAGCAAAATGGGCGGGCGGTACCAGCAGGCGATGTGGTGAGGATGGATTTAAAGATGTTCTGGCAGGCGGTGCTGCCGAAGCTTGCGCGAGTAATCATACAGTTATCGGATCTCAAACCTCCGACGTGACGCTGTCTGCGTCACCAAGGTCCCTGGAGGTCTCTCTGCCCATTCTCCAGGACCAGGTTCTCATCCCGGGTTGTTGTTTTTTAAAGAGACGGCCCAATCACCCGAATTGGATACACCCAAATTCCAGACGCTTCGCGTATCCCTATCAGCCCATCCAGAAACGATGTCCAGGCGAGTTGAGGTGATCAGGGAAGTGCGGCAGCAAAGAGGAGGACGACCGAACCGTGCAAAGGAGTGAGGAGGAGAAGGAGGAGGTGGATGGATGGATGAATGAGGGAGTGGGAAGAAGGAGGATTAATAGGATGAGGAGGAGGCGGATGAGGAGGAGGAGGAGGAGGAGGAGGAGGAAGAGAAGGAGTAGGAGCAGGAAGGAGGAACAGGAGGAGGAGGAGGAGGGCAAGCACAAGGGCCAGAGGTCTTTTGGATGCCTCTCGGAGCCTCTTGGGGTATCTCTTAGGCGATTCTTGGTGGCCTCTTGGGACGTCTTGGGGGTCTCTTGGCGATCCTGGGGGGCTCTTCGGGGTCTTGGGTGCCTCGGGGGGGGCCTCTTGGGGCCGCTGAGGGTCTTCTTGGGGGCCTCTTGGGGGCCTCTTGGGGCCATCTTGGGGCCATCTTGTGACCTCTTGGGGCCTCCTGGGCGCTTCTCTGTGCCATCTTGGAGGAGATCTATCAAAGAAGAGCGGAGCTTCAATTAGGGTTGCCCCCCCAGGAGGCCAAAATGAGGTAACATCATTGATTTTGGCAGAGACAGGGTGCAGGAAGCACGCGCCACCCCGCCTGTGCAGGGTGGGCGGGAGGACCAAAACGCAGACCCGAGCCGCAGCGCCTGCGGGGGGGGGGGCGAGGGGAAAGGGAGGGAAGCTGGGCGACGATCGGTGCAAATCACTGATTTTGGCTTCCTCACCGAGGCTGTTTTGGACGCTCTGACCGCTCGCGGCCTCCCCCGCCGTCCAGGTCCACGGGGAGGGGGTAGGGGGAGGGGTCAAGTTACCCCCTCCCCGCCCGCAAGCCGTCTCGCTCACTCCCACCCGCCCTCCCAACACATACGTAGCACCCGAGTCTGGCCCGAGCCTCAGCATATTCAGCAGTCGTCTTGGGATGGGCAGCTACTGGGGGCCAATCCGCCGCCGCCGCCGCCGCCGCCGCCGCCTGCCAAACCGCCGCCGCAGCCGCCCGCCACCGCCCGCCGCCGCCGCCGCCTCAGCCGCCGCCGCAGCCGCCGCCCGCTGCCACCGCTCGTGTATTGTTTTTTGACAGGGATGGTGGGGGGGGGCGGCATCAGGTTGGCTGCGCATGTTCCGAATTTGGAGGCAGAGTGTGTTTTGTATAGTTTTTTTACAAGGGATGCTGGGAGGGGGGGCATGGACCCTGGTTGGCCCCCAGTCGCCTGGGAGAGGGGGTGTTTATTAATAGGGAACAGTGGTAAACCCTTCCCCGAAGGGGACGAGGGAGGGGTGGAAGAGGAAACGCCCCAAACCACCGACGCCCAGAGGGCTGGTGGGATTCCGGAAAAGGCTGCCGCCTCGATTTGGTCGTGACGCGCCTCGACAGGGCAGCGTTGAAGAGTGAGCCCCCAGGACCATTCCAGGGGGCGCGTCATGTCCGGAATTCCGAGGCGGATCCAGCCGTGGCGGCGACGCCCCAGGACGCCCAGGTGATGTCGAGAACTTGCAAAAATTGTCCCCGGGAACGGGCGGCGGACTTGTTCATTTCGCCCCCCCTCCCCCCTTCTGCCCTTCCCCCTCCCCTCATCCCACTTATGTCCCTCTTCCCATGCCACTCCTCCGTATCCCCAGTCCTGCTATCCACCCGCACGCGTTTACCACGTCATTCCTGCCAACACAAGCATCAGAACCACGTGATCGTCGTCGACACAAGCATGACAACCGCAAGGCCAGGCTGCGCGAGCGGGGAAGGCCCCGCTGGGTACCGTCCACGGCACGGTGGGGCCTACGCGCGACTGCCCTCCGCGCTCGCGTGTAGGGGGTGGGTGGGTGTGGGGGGCACAGGGTGGGAGCACATACATTTGCATGAACAGACACGTTCGGAGGTCCGCGCTAGGGGTGTGCAGCGCCGACCCAAGGAATCCGCGCGGACTTCCGAACGTTGATGGTATTCATGCAGTTGCTTGTTCGTCCATATGGGCAGGGTGAGGGAGATGAAGGATCGAGAGACAACATAATCTCGCATGTCACCCGTGCGCGCTTGCGATTCATGGGCATGTTGTGGCGCGCCGACCCAAAAGTGGAAAAGCGTGGGTTGTGGTAGAGGCGAACTTGAAATGCGATAGTTGGGAGGCGGAAGCGCTTCGGAGGGAGGAGTTGGATGGGGAGGAGCAGGAGCAGCAGCAGTGGTGGGAGAGCGGAGAAAGGGACAGGACAGATCAAAGGGTGGAGTGCAACGAAAATCACATGGTGATGAACGACACGGGCAGGGATGGAAGATGGGGGTGGGAGGGCTGTTCGTTAAAAATGTCTCGTGCACGGGACACGGGGTGCCTCGAGCCGCTCGAGACTCGCCTCGGGCAGGAAGGTCCTTCGGGCGGGCATCGCACGTCGCCGCTAGCCAGGCAAGTGAGTCTCTGACAGGCCGAAGGGGAAGGAGGGATGAGGGGGAGGGAGGAGAGGGAGGAGGAAGGGGGAGGGGGAGGGGGGAGTGGGGAGGAGGAGGGTGGGAGGAGGGGGGCGGGCGGAAGGGGGGAGAGAGGAGGGGGAGGGGCAAGCTAGGTGCGCTCGCGTCATATCTGACGTCCTGCCCTTCCCTCCCATCCCTTACCATGGCATAGATATCCTCTCTATTCGCACAGTCGGATGCCGAGCAGGGCAATGATCCCGAGGGGGTGCGCGATGCATCGTGGAGGGGGGAGAGAGGGGGGGGAGGAGGTGGAGGAGGAGGGGGGAGGGAGATGTGGGAGGGGGGAGCAGGTGGCAGGGGGAGCAGAAGGGGAGGATTAAGGGCCCGGGGCGGAATCGCCAGCAAAAGCCCATCCGCCGCGAGATGATACATGGACTACACGTAAGAGTGACCCTTCGCCGGAGTGACCTTTTGGTGCGGGCTCATCGGGGTCCCCCCGATCGTTGAGCGCGATGCGAAAGCGGCTGCGTGCGCGCTTGGATTTGGCCACCTTGCGCCCCCCTGGTCCGCGCACCAAAGGTCACTCTTGCCCAGGTTCACTCCTGCGTGTAGCCGAACACATGTGTGAATCACGGCCTCTATCATTATCCATATTGTTCGGTCACATTGGCAAATTGGCAGCCTCTGCGGTCGAATGCTTCTCGCCATATTGAGCCACTGGTTTATTGATGCAGTATTGCATCAATTCTATGCTATTCGCACGCCCATCTCGCCCATCTCGCCGGTCTGTTATTTTCGCACACTGCACGCATGTTCAGGCTTAGCAGCGGTCATGGCTACATAGAGTTCTTATCCGCGCCTTCACGAGATGTTGTAGATTTCCCCGTTGTCTCGATCCTAGCTCGGCTGACAGAGTGTCCTCGTCTTACCGAGGGCGCACGGGCGATGCAAAAAGCAGCAGTTGTCGAGGCATCGTCCGAGGGAACGAATGTGAGTGCACCACATTTAAATGTGTCATACTACGCCATACAGCTGAGCTCGTGTCTGCTTTCTCGGCATGCGCAAATTGAAGGTGGCGGAGATGACGTTTTGTTTCTAAGAGCGATCGCATGGCATGCCAGCTGGAACAGCTATCATAAGAAACCCAATCGCAGTGAACAGGCCAGGGGCGTCATGCCAAGGAAGGCTCACCAAGCACCGGCAGTGAGGCACGTCTAAGAGAGACGACCGCATGTCGTACAGGCGAGAGCAGCATTTCAAAGTCGGCCCGCATCGATCTGGTCGTGGCGCACTTGGCATCGCTGCACGGTGCGCGAGGCATGGGGGATGAAGATGAAGTTGGGGCTCCGCACGCTCGCTCCGATCTTGCGGATCTTGCACCAGCAACCACAAATCATGGTGATGAGTGATGTATACGACCCACTTCCATCTGAGAGATGCGTTTGGTCTCATCGGGGTCTTTGTCTCGTAAGCGCTCACCCACGACTGAACCGGGCATTGATTGGAGTTAGTAGCATCACATTCGTGTTTGTTGGGCGTTGGGAGGGGTCGTCAGGATGGTTTTCAACACGTGCATGGACATATTCTGCTCCGCTCGTGCATTGGCGTGATAGTTGTCCAGTGAGGTGGTTTTGGCGCCGCCGTGCAGGAGTCTCAGGCATATGCGACGGGGGGGGATCCTGCTATTTTGCTTAATTTCTGAGCAGACGCACCAGGGTGCATATCCATCCGAGCTGGTTGTTGGAGCCGGGCAGTAGAAATCGAAAGCAAGATCATCTCATTCCGTGGATGCTATATTGATCGTGTGTCTGACTTGGCCAGCTCCTTTGTTTTCAGGGCTGGCTGTCCAGATCGACGTCATATTGGTGCATCTCGTCTCCTCTACTCTTCCTCCTCTGCCCTCCCTCTCGACGTTGCCTTTTCCGCTGGCAGCCTGTTCCCAGTGCTGCACAGGAGGAAGAGGGCGTTGCTGCGCCCCGACTCCTCCACCCCCCCTCCTCTGGCCATCGGCGCTTCCCTTCCCCCTCCCGCTTCCGGAGACGCCACGTTGTCACGAGGACAGTCCTCTTCCCCTTGTCCGTGGTGGTGGTGGTGGTGTCACGTTCCCTTGTGGGGGAGGGAGAGGAAAACGGCGGCGATGTGTCACGCACCACCCCGCGCGCCCGGGACCCCCGGGAGGCCAGTGCCCCTCCGGCGCAGCCCGTGCGGTGGCCCTCGGAGACCGCCACGGACGCCGCCCCGGGAGCGCCGGGCGCCGCTGGGAGGCGCCTTTCTCAGCCCCTCCCCGCAGACCCCCCCCATCGCGTTGTGAAAACACCATGGCGGGCGCTGATTTTGGTTGCCCTCCAGAGGCCCTCTCACCGGGCCCGGGGCCGGACTCGGGACGAGGAGCTGGTTTTCGGGATGGGGTCAAGAGCTCGGGGGGCCCGCGTGTCCGAGGTCGGGGGTCTGGGCCTGCTGCCTGGGGGGCGGGGGGATTTGGACTTGTGCGGGCTCGGGAGGAGCAGACAGGAGAGAAGGCGGGGTGGGAGGCAGCCTCAGCAGCAGGCCGCCTGGAAAAGCAGCTGCTCGCAGCTCTCATTCGCCAACTCCCCCATTTGCTCGCCCAGCCCCTAAGGACATTCGGAGGCCTCCAGAGGGGCCAGAGACGTCCAAACACCTCGATCTTCGATGATGGATACTCGACCCTCGGTCGTTTTTTACCCACCCACCCTTACAACGTATGAAGTGCCACACAGAATCCCCCAGGACGCAAAAAGACATCCAGAAACGTCAGTGAACTTGATCGATCCTTATTCCTCTCCGCAGTACAGACCCTCCTGACCTCTGCCTGGAAGGCGTACATGCCATGCCAGGGCCCAGGATTGCCTTTGGCAAGCACGGCGATGACGTATAAATGCCCTCTGCGTAATCATCCTCCCTCCTCCTCCTCCTCCTCCTCCTCCTCCTCCTCCTCCTCCTCCTCCTCCTCCTCCTCCTCCTCCTCCTCCTCCTCATGGATCGCCCTCGAAAGTTGCCTTGATTATGGATCATTCTCGAACGTAGATGGACATGGGATGCGCTCTCTAGTGGCAACCAAGAGAACACCCACGCCACCGAGGCCAGCGACAGCACGGGGGTCAGTGCAAACGCTGGGATAACGACGCCACGACGTTTCGTTTCTCAGCGACGCAGACCCGACCTGTATAGTGAGCGGCTTGAATAAGGAACACTTATTTTTCAAAAGTGGTTCGGTCGTTCCTTAGGCTTGCATGCGTTAGTTATCGTTCCGTATGTGTTATGTATTATGTATCGTTCCCTATGCGTTACTCCTTGAAAAAAGGGCTTCGTTCCTTAGGTCAGGCCGATGACTGTATCCAACGCCCACACCAACCACTGGACAAGGCCAACCGAACGACCTCACCTGCGACGTCGCGAGAAAGTTGCAACGCCGTGGAAAATCACAACCAGAGCCCTCGACACCTTGATTTTAAGGCACTTTGTCGAGATGAGGGCACCGGGGTCTCGAAACTGGGCAAGAGCGCCCAGCGTGAAAGGATGCAGGACTCCGCCCGCCCAATTGATTACTTTTGCAGTGGGTTGTAGCTCTCGCGCGCGCGTGCGCCCGCGGCTAACGCAGAGATCCACCGCGGGCGGCAGGGCCGCTGCCGAGCCACTCTGCTGTCGTCGTCGTCGCCGTCGTCGTCGTCGTCGGCGGCGTCGTCGGCGGCGCCGTCATCGTCGTCGTCGTCGTCGGCGTCGCTGTCGCCGTCGCCGTCGGCGCCATCGCCGTCGCCGTCGCCGTCGCCGTCACCGTCGCCGTCGCCGTCGCCGTCGGCGGCGCCGCCGCCGCCGCCGTCGCCGCCGCCGCCGTCGCCGTCGCCGTCGCCGTCGCCGTCGCCGTCGCCGTCGTCGTCCTCGTGGTCGTCGTCGTAGTCGTCGTCGCCCGCGAACGCGCGCGGCTCGCGCGGAGGTCCGCCGCGGGCGCGCAGCCGAGCCAGCGCGGCCAGCGGGGCAGCGGGCCGCGCGCGGCAGCCGCTACGGCCAAGGCGCCCTCGCTCAGCATGGTCGGACCGATCCCATCCTCTATCGGCCCATGGCATCTCGGCCCCACCATGTCACCCGCCCAGATGGCGAGAGGTTCCCCGAAACCCGAAGTGAACAAAACATATCCGAGATGCAGTGGACCCCTCGAGGGTCATTCCAGTGGGGATAGGGATCTGTTAAGCGATGCTCACCCGCCTTTCCCGAGGGCGACCCCCACGGGCGGCCTCGCCGGGCATCGGGCTCTTTTGAGAGCCTCGTCCCCCCCCTTATCGAAGAAGAAAAACATGATTTTACATACATTGTGGGAGCTCCGCGCGGACATTTTGCAACTATGCTGGGCCCACGTGGCGGCGCTTCCAGCGCCGCCCCTGGCGCGCTCCGCGCGCCAGAGAGGGGACCCAGCGCGGGTTCATTGAACACCTCTCGCGGCTACCCTTCGCGTTCCACGCTGCCTTGAGAACACTACGGCGGAGACATTTCGCCGTCTTCGGCCTTTGGGAATCCCCGCCCGGCCCCAGGACTGGCAACACAAAACAGCTGGGGATGGCAAACCGGCCCCGGGGAAAGGGTCCAGACCTCCCAGGACTTCGCATCTAAAAAATTCAGGCATCGGCTGTGTGGGTCCTTTTCCTCCTCTTCTTCGAATATCCTCCCCCTCGAGCCTCGGTCCTCTTCGAGTCTCGGACCTCATCGAACCTCCTCCTCCTCCTCCTCCTCCTGCTGAACCTCGGCCCTCGGTCGTCCTCCTCGAACCTCCTCTTACTGGCATTCCGACCTAGTTCCCTGGTGCCCCCTGTTGGGCAATTTTGAGGGCTCCGGGGCCGCGAGGGTCACGTGAGTGCGATCGCGGAGTCGCAGTGATTGACAACGCGGGGTCGCGAGAGTGCGATCGTCGCGCACGCCGATCTGCGTTACGATTGCTCTTTGGCACGACAGGCGTCAGATGGCGAGTACCGACCTCTCATGAACTTTGGTCGCCCTCCTCGCCCTCCTCCTCTCGGGGGGCTCCTCTTCGCCACGTCTGCATTCCCCGCCGAAGTTCTGGCCAAAACGCATCGCCAGCGAGAGACACGAAGGTAGGTGACTGAGAGGAGTCGGGGAGCTTCGGAAATCCTGACTCATTGCCAGGCCCCGTGGGGGCTGCCCGTGCCCTGCCTGGGCATCCTCACGCCCTTGGCTTCTCCTCTTCTGTCCACCTTCTCAGCATCGCTCGGACGTGTGCATCTGTTCGCAGCCAGGACCATCGAGGAGCACCTTGGATCATCTTCGCAAAACAAGCCCACAACATCGAAAAACACATGGGAAATGAACGTCCGAGCGATGGCAAACATCCCTCCCTTCACATCCTACTCTGACGGTCGATAGTTTTCCTTCCCGCCCCCCCACCCCTCCGCGCGGGGAAGAAGCGTGCGCGCGCAGAGGAGGATGAGGACCAGAGTATAGTTGGATGCATGCTGCTGAACGTCCTCCATTCTTGGGCCCCTCCCCAGCCTTGAAAAACTAACGCCCTCAGTCTGTATGGTTGTTGCGCATGTTGTATGTCGTGGTATCAATAATGGAGAGGTCTTAAGCAGTAGTCCCAGGTTGAAAAGGGGCCACCCTCCCTCTTGGCAATTGCTGCACACCTTCAAAGTTGGGTAATGAGTAAGAGGGTTGGCAGAAGTGCGCGGCGCTAATGCGATAGCACCAATGTTCTATCGAGAACCGTTATTTTATATGTGAAGTTGTTGGGAATTGGTGAGACGAGTGTGCGCATGGCTGTAGCGATCATCATCACAACTACTTGAATATAAAATCCCGTCCATCCCTGTTATTGTGGTTGGGCCTCGCATCCGCGAGGCGCTGAGAGTTGTCATGAACCTTTTTCGTTGTACTCCCGACTGGGGGCAACCACCTTTTGACAAGTATGCCACGAAGGGCTACATGAACTGGGTCATCACGTGTGGCCGGCCCGTCGAGGGCACTCATGTACACATAGCATTACCTTATCATGATGCCCCATCGGGGGCGCGTAGGTGTTCACGACGTTCGCCTACATGAACCGTCTCTTCGACATCCCTGTACCGCCGTTCTCGGCTACTGGCCGACGCCCGCGGGATGGGCGGGTTATCCCTTCCCCAGTTGGCTACTGTGCCACTTTCTATTCTTCATCCTGGCTGTCGGAAGGTGCTCGTGCCATGGGATCGCGCCGACGCCCGCGGGATGGGTGGGCAATCCCTTCCCCGGTTGGCGCCTTCAGCGTGGAGTCAGAGGCCTAGACACGCATTTCTACTTCGTCGGCACCCCAGGGCGTTGCGTCCTCTATAATTCGCTGGTCGTTGAGTTCTCATCCGTCCCACGGCCGACTTCTTTCCGTCCCTTTCCTTTGGCGGAGTTCTTCTCCTGCATGTCCATCGGCGGCTTCATGGCCGCCGGGTGTTTGTCTTTGGCCACCAGTGCCTGGCTACACATGACAAGGAGTTCACACCCCTTTTGGCGTGAATTACATCATCAAGATGTTCATCTGTATCGGGACCGATTTCTTTTCGGGCATATTCTTCGTACGCATGTGGACCCTAGGCCTGAGTCAGCCTGGTTCATATTCAAAAGTGGCGGCCATCCCTGTTGTTGGAGCCTGTTTTTTTTGGCTTTGGGCATGACGGGCGTCATGGCCCCCGCCCCCCCCCCCCCCCCCCCCATGGCGTAACGCTCCCCCCTCCACTGCTCTCCGGGCACTGCCCCCCAGTGCGTTCCGAGCATTGCCGCTATGCGCAGTGGGATCCGCGTAGGTGTCCCCGTAGGAATACGCATAGGAGTCTGGTCCGCAGTCGTCGTCGTCGTCGTCGTCGTCGTCGTCGCTCGTGGCTTGTCGCTCGTCGCTCATAGTCGTCGTGCGCGCGGACGTGGCTGAAGCCTGTTTTTTGGTCCGGGCCGATGACGGCAATCATCTAGGGGGGGATGGAAGGGGTCGATGACGTCACGTTTCGCGCCGGCGGCGTTTGGGAATGCGTAGGAATGACGGAGGACGGGTAGCGCCAGCATGTAGGTGGCGATTTGCACCACAACGCCTTTGTACACCACAGTGCTCGCGTGCACCACAGCGCCTGAGTACACCACCGCTATGTGCACCACAGCAGCCGCGTGCAACACAGCGTCAGTTTGTGCCACCGTGCCCGCGGGCACAACAGCTCATGTGCACACCACAGCGCTTGCGTTCACCACATCAGCCGTGCGCAACACAGCACCAGAATGCACCACAATGCCTGCGTGCATTGCAGTGCTTTGTGTACACCACGGCGCCTGGATGCACCGGAGCAGCCGTGTGCCACACAGCGCCATTGTTGTATATAGAATGTGAGAACGAATCCTTATGACAAAATGGAGCGCTTGTGGATTCCACAGAAGACAATCTTCAATAATCCTTATGGACAACGGAGCGCCGCTGGAATCTACGTGTCCTCCCGAGTCCGCGCGCATCATCCTAACTCCTCCCTTTGCGTCGAGGAGGTTCCAGCTAAATTGGCCGCCCGAGAACCAAATGGACCGATTCAATCGACCATTCTGCGGTGCGCGCTGAGATGCGCACGTGCGCTGTAGCGCCAACCCGCACGACACAGGGTAAGGAGGAGGGAGGAGGAGGAAGAGGAGGAGGAGGAGGAGGAGGAGGAGATGAGGGTGGTGGAGGAGGAGGAGGAGGAGGAGGAGGAGGAGGAGGAGGAGGAGGAGGAGGGAGAGGAGGGAGGAGGGAAGACCGTCGCATTTGATTATCTGCAATTTCTTGGCGTGGCGTCCAGTTGTCCGCAGCAGATCCTCACGTACATGCTCCTTCTACCTGTCCCATGCACGCAGGCATTGTGGTATACACCAGCGCTGCGTTGCACGCGGATGCTGTGGTGTAGACGCGCGCCGTGGCGTGTACAGGCGTTGCGGTGCACGCAAGCATTGTGGTGTACACAGGCGCTGCGTTGCACATGGTAGCTGCGGTGTGCAATTGTACGCCTGCGTTGTAGTGTACGCAAGCATTGTGGTGTACACAGGCGCTGCGTTGCACACGGTTGTTGCGGTGTGCGCACCCAGTGTGGTATACACGCGCGCTGTGGTGCACGCGAACGCTGTGGTGCACACAGGCGCAGTGGGGCATATAGCCACCTACATGCTGCTCGTGCCGTCGTCGTCGTCGTCGTCGTCGTGATCGTCGTCGTGATCGTCGTCGTCGTGGTCGTCGTCGTCCTCGTCGCTCGTCACTCGTCGCGTCGCGTGCGCGGGCGCGGCTGCGGTGCCGGAGCCACACGGCGTGGGGGGCGTTACGTCATACCCCCCCCTTCGCCCCCCCCCCCCTCCCATGACGCCCGTCATCGCCGAACATAGAGAACGCGCTCTTGTTGGGATGTTGTAAGTCGACCGTGCACCTCTCCCAACGCGAGAACCACGTTTTGAAAACGCCCCGCCCTCCACCGGTGCAGTTGACTGACTGACTGTTGGGCTTGTTCAGGCGAGCGTGCGCGGCACTAACGCGAGAGCCACGTTTTGATCCCCCCCCCCCTCGTGGGAGTCACTGCAAAATTTCAGGATGCTTTGCTGCGAGGACATGTTAGGAGTGATGTTAAGCACGCGCGTCTGGTAATGCGACGGGGAGGAGACATTGATTATGAAGAGAGATGGAGGAAGCCAGGACAGGAAGGATGGAGGGAGAGGGAAGGGAGAGAGGGAGGCGTGAGGAGGAGGTGGGGTGGAGGAAGGGAGGGAAGAGAGGGCAAGCTAGGTGCGCAAGCGTCTTATCTGACGTCCGATCCCTCCATCCCATCCCTTACCATGGCGTAGACATCCTCTCTATTCGCGCAGTCGGATGTCGTACCACGGCATAGCATTACATGGCAAAGCGATGAAGATCAACGCGTAGCATGACATAGCATGGCGTGGCATTGCGTAGTCAAGCACTGCATATCATAGCATTGCAGCTGGAGGCATGGCATCGCACAGCGGAACATACCATAGCATTGCATTGCATGCCATGGCATGGCACCAGAAATGAGGCCAGCGTTGCAGCGGGAGCACCATTCGGAACGAGCGGAAGCGCGGAAATGAGGTCAGCGCTGCAGCGGGAGCACAATTCGGAAGGACCAGAAGCCTTAACATGAGGCCAGCGTTGCAGCGGGAGCAACGTTTTGAAGGACCAGAAAAAACGGATGTGCAAAAGCATTCATGAAAGACCAACTCGCCGGAATCTTGCGTGTAAGGAAACAGTACGCGGAGGGGGGCCGAACATTTTTCGGACAGAGTCAGGGGAGTGAGGAGAGTAGTACTCACATTGTGTAATTGTAGAGGGGGCAATGGAGGAAGAGGAGGGGGGGCGGAGAGGAGGAGGAGAAGGAGGAGGAGGAGGAGGAGGAGGAAGAGGAGGAGGAAGAGGAAGCAGAGGGAGGGCGCGCAGGGAGCAGGAAGGCGGAAAAGAAGAGGCGGAGTGGAGGGATGGGGGTAGAGGAGGGGGGGGACGGAGGGAGAGAGGGAAGGAGGGGGAAGAGGAGGAGGCGAGGAAGATGGGCGGGAAGGAGGAGGGTGTGGAGCAGGAGGAGCAGGAGAAGGAGGAGGAGGTGGAGGAAAAGAGGGAGGAGGGAGAAGAGAGAGGTGGGAGGTGGTGGAGTAGGAGGTGGTGGAAAATGGTAGAGATGGAGGAGGGGGAGGGGGATCAGAGAGGAGGAGGAGCGCTGACACCCCTCTCTTTTGCCGCGCCGTACGCCAAGGCCGCCCCGCAGCCGCCTGAGTTCTCCGGCGCGGAGGCCACCCCGGGGGTTGAGAGGGTCAGACGGGGAGCACTTGTCCGAAGGGCAAAAGACATGCAGTTGGCACGAGGGCCGAGAGCAGCCCTGGCTTCGCAGGGGTACACCCCTATGCTCTTTGTGCTGGGACTCTCCATCCTGGATTGCTCTTCGTCCAGAGTATCTCCATGGGGCTTCGGCCGAAATCCGCACAAAAGCTGCTCGCATAGCCAACCTGGGTCTGGGGGTCCGTCTTCGCCAGTGTTTCGTCCTGGACTCATTTCTAACGGCTCCGCGGGGCGCGAAACGGGCCTCCAAGGGTTGAAATTGCAAACATAGAATCGTGTTTTGTTTAATCTTCTGTGCCCCACTAGGTCTACTCAGCGCCCTTCCCCTTCAAGAATCGTCCCCAAAAAATTGGCAGTGGGGCATCTCAACTAGAACTTCGAGGCGAATCCAGCCGTGGCAACAAAGAGCTTCCCCGAGGCCCACCGGGCCAAATCCGCCGACCTTGTCTGTGTGTGCGAGGGGTTTGTCTGCTCGAGTCGTCGTCGCCGTCAGTCGTCGTCTCCGTCGTCCCCTTTCCCTGCACCCTCCTCCTCAAGCCTGTCAGCGAGAGAAAAACCTAGCAATGTCAGCAATGTCGCAATCGAATCGAAGGGGAGGCCCATCCCTTTGGTCCCTTCCCCGCCAGGGGGGGCGGGGGGAGGTCCCGGGTCAGATACGCACCCCCCCTTGGAGGTTCCAGAGCCTGTGGGCCCAATCCCAACTAATTGGTCCCAATCAAAACCCGCGCGAAAATCAAACTGGCCCCATCCCAACAAATGGAAGATCGGCCCAGAACAGGAAATTATTTAGAGAGTGGACCAAGACAATTTGAGACCCAAGTGGCACCTCTTATGTCACAGTGGGAGTTGGTACCAATTCGATCTGCGCACGAGCACTCTGAAGAAAGGTTGCAGTAGTAGCGCGCAAAGATCATGTCGTTGTAGAATACAGAAAAGTTACCAGCAGTACGAGTAGGACTATGTAGTAGTAGTAGTAGTAGTAGAAGAAGTAGTAGTAGTAGTAGTAGTAGTAGTAGAAGTAGTAGTAGTAGTAGTAGTAGTAGTAGTAGTAGTAGTAGTATCAGTAGTAGTAGTAGTAGCAGCAGCATTCGCAGTAGTACTAGTAGTAGTAGTAGTAGTAGTAGTAGTAGTAGTAGGAGTAGCAGGAGTAGCAGGAGTAGTAGTAGTAGTAGTTGTTGTAGTAGTAGTAGTAGCAGTCGTAGTAGTAGTAGTAGTAGTAGTAGTAGTAGGTGTAGTAGTAATAGTAGTAATTGTAGTGATAGTAGTAGTAGTAGTAGTAGTAGTAGTAGTAGTAGTAGTAGGAGTAGTAGTAGTAGTAGTAGCTGTAGTAGTAGTAGTAGTAGTAGTAGTCGTCGTCGTAGTAGCAGTAGTATCAGTAGAAGTAGAAGTAGCAGTCGTCGTAGTAGTAGTAGTAGTAGAAGTAGTCGAAGTGCGAGTAGTAGTAGTAGCAGCAGTAGCAGTTGCAAGAGTAGTAGTCGTAGTAGTAGTCGTAGTAGTAGTTGTTGTAGTTGTTGCAGTTGCAGTAGCAGTAGCAGTAAGAATTATAGTACTAGTAGTAGTAGTAGTAGTAGTAGTAGTAGTAGTCGTAATAGTAGGCGTATTAGTAGCCGTCGTCGACGTAGTAGTCGTAGTCGTAGTAGTATGTGTGGTCGTAGTGGTAGTAGTCGTAGTAGTAGTAGTAGTAGTAGTAGTAGTAGTAGTAGTAGTAGTAGTAGCCGTAGTAGTAGTAGTAGTAGTATTTGTAGTACGACCTAGATAGCAGGTAACAGGTAGTAGGTAGCAGGTAGAAGGTAGCAGGTAGAAGTTAGTATAGGTAGTGAGTAGTCGTAATAGTAGTCGTCGTCCTCGTCGTCGTCGTAGTGGTAGTATCAATCGTAGTCGTAGTAGTAGGTAGTAGTAGGTAGTAGTAGCTAGTCCTAGGTAGTGATTGTAGTATTATTCTTATTACCACTACTACTACTACTACTACTACTACTACTACTACTACTACTTGTACGATTGCTACGACTACTACGACTACTAGTACTAATACTACTACGACTACTGCTACTACTACTACTACTACTACTACTACTACTACTACTACTACTACTACTACTACTACTACTACTACTACTACTACTACTACTACTACTACTACTACTACTACTACTACTACTACTACTACTACTACTACTACTACTACTACTACTACTACTACTACTACTACTACTACTACTACTACTACTACTACTGTACTACTACTACTACTACTACTACTACTACTACTACTACTACTATTACTACTACTAGTACTACTACTACTACTACTACTACTACTAGTAGGTGTACTAGTACGTAGTACTACTACAACTATCGCTATTACTACGACTACTGGCCGTGGCAATAGAAGTAGTAGTAGTAGTTGTTGTTGTTGTTGTAGTAGTAGTAGTAGTAGTATCAGTAATCGTAGTAGTAGCACTAGTACTAGTAGTAGTAGTAGTAGTAGTAGTAACAGTAGTAGCAGTAGTAGTCGTAGTCGTAGTAGTAGTAGGTCGTTTTACTATTATTACTACTACTACTACTACTACTAGTGGCACAGTAGTAGTGCAGTACTACTAGTATTATTATTATTATTAGTAGTAGTAGTAGTAGTAGTGGTAGTAGTAGTAGTAGTAGTATCAGTAGTAGTACCAGTCGTAACAGTCGCACGAATAATTCAAGTAAGTAACACGGAGCAGGTAACAAGTAGTAGTAGTAGCAGTAACAGTAGCAGTAGTAGTAGTAGTAGTAGTAGTAGTAGTAGTAGTAGTAGCAGTAGTGTAGTGGTAGTAGTAGCAGCAACACCAGCAGTAGTAGTAGTAGTAGCAGTGTAGTAGTAGTAGTGTAGTAGTAGTAGGAGTAGGAGTAGTAGTAGTAGTAGTAGTAGTGGTAGTAGTAGCAGCAACACCAGCAGTAGTAGTAGTAGTAGTAGTAGTAGTAGTAGTAGTAGTAGTAGTAGTAGTAGTAGTAGTACTAGTAGTAGTAGTAGTAGTAGTAGTAGTAGTAGTAGTAGTAGTAGCAGTCTCAGTAGTAGTAGTAGTAGTAGTAGTAGTAGTAGTCGTAGTCGTAGTCGTAGTCGTAGTCGTAGTAGTATTAGTAGTAGTGGTAATAGTAGTAGTAGTAGTAGCAGTAGTAGTAGTAGAAGTATTGGTGGTGGTGCTGGTGGAGGTGGTGGTAGTAGTCGTAGTGATAGTAGTAAGTAGTAGGTGTCCTAATGTTTTTTTGTTGCAGATCCCTAAGACTGCCAGAGGATGTGTGAAGATTCTGGGGGATACCTGAGGATCTATTCGGATTGCTTATGTTTATTGGCGACCTCTCAGGATTCTTCAGGATCTGAAGGTGTTTATTGATTTCGAGGGACCTCTTATGATTTCTCAGGGCCCCCAGAATTTGTCATAAACCTTCAGGATCCCCCAGGATCCCTCGGGATCACCCAGGGTTCACCACAACCCCATCAGGATCCTCAGGGTTCTTGCGCATGCCTCAGGAATCCTGAGGTGTCCTGGGGAATCCTGAGAATGTGTCAGAATTCCTTCGGATCTCTTCAGGTTATTCAGGATTCCGCAGGATCTCTTCAAGAGGATTTGTGAGGATTTCTGCGAATTCTTCCGGATTCGTGAGGATCTCGTAGGATCCCTCAGGGGTCCTGAGGATTTCTCAAAACTCGTTAGGATCTCGCAGGATTCCTTAGGATCCCTTGGGTCTTTCAGGATTCGTGAGGATCTCGCAGGATTCCACCCAATCTATCCGGATTTCTTAGGACCCTACCGGATCTTTCAGGAGTCCACAGGGTTTATGAGGACCTTTCAGGGTTCCTGGGGATCCCGCAGGATTCCTCCGGATTCCTGAGGATGTGTCAGATTCTTCCGGAGTCCAACAGGATCTCTCACGATTTATTCCGGGTCGAGGATGCCTACGGATGTATCAGGGCTCCGCGGGATGATTGAGGATGTCTCGCAGAATTCCAGAGGATCTCTCACGATCCTTTGGATTCCTGAGGATCTCAGGTTTCCAGAGGATTTCGGTGGATCTCTCATAATTCCTAAGCATGTTTGAGGATTTCAGAATTCTGAAGATTCCGTATCCGCAATTGGTTGTAAGTGGGACCAGTTTGGTTCCAGTTCGTTCCGAACGGTTGTAATTCAGATCAGTTGATTGGGATTCGTCCCGCTCCCGGGTCCCAGGACCGTAAGAAATACCAAGACTGGTCAAGAGTTCCCCACGAGGCCTCCGAGACGGTCCAAGAGGGCCCCCAATCGCCAAACGATCGGTCCAAAACGCTTTCACGCCTCCAGACTGCCCAGGAGACTTCCAAAAGGCCCCAAGAGGCCTCCAAGAACACCCCCGAGAGGGCCCCCAAAGGCACAAATTATTGATTTGTTGTTTTTTAGTTTTGAAAGATTTTAGCTTTCTCGCCTTTTCCGCTTCCCGCCGCTCCAAGACAGCCGGACAAACCCTCAAGATCACCCCAAGACCAACACGGCCCAAGAGGTTGCCAAGAGCGTTCCAAAACAGCCCAGGAGGACCCCACGGCAGACCAGAACGCTTCCAAGACGGCCCAAAGGGCCCCCAAGGCGGCTCCAAGAGCGTGCCCAGACGGGTGATCCGAACAGATATTTCGAGCCCCGGGCCCGAAGTTTCCCAGGAAGCCCGAAGAAACCCGAAAAGGCCCCCCAGAGGCAGCAAAAAGGCCCCCAGGAACCCCCAAGAGACCCCAACATTCTTCCCCGGAGGCCCCCGAGGGCGTTCCCAAGAGACCCCAAAAAGCATCTTTGAGGACTCTGGCCCACGTCAACGTCGTTGGTGTCGCCGCCGCCGTCGTCGTCGTTGTCCCCCCTAAGGGTCGGCGGCACCGGCCGTAAGGCCTTCGCAATATGCTGTCGAACTTCGATCATCCTCCTTGTCCCAGTGTGCGTCTCCTCTTCGTCCTCGTCCCGTTTCGTCTCCTCGCCCCCGCCCTCCTCCCCGCGCCGCCAAAAGGGCGCGGGAGCCGTGCGGGCGCCCGACTCCGCCGCTGGCGCTCCCGCCGCTGCCGCGGCGGGACCACAAGGATCCGCCCCCCGACGGCGACGGCGTCGGCGAGTGCGGCGGCGACGGCGGCGACGACAACGGCGGCGACAACGACAACGACTGCGGCGACGGCGACGGCAGCGACGACCCCCCATCGGATAAAGGTGCGCAGGGCTGTCGGCTCGATATGATTCCCAGCCTCCTCCCCCTCGAGAAGGGAGGACGGAGGAAGATCGAGCAGGGAGGAAGGTAAGGATTCAGGTGCTAGGTGGTTTTAGACAATCGGTTTGCCTCCTGGGGTCTTCGCTCTGTTGTACAGTGTCCTCCTGAAGGGACGATACGAGCCGAGAAGTTGTTGAAGGATTTCCCCGAAATGAAAGTATCATTGCAGCACCAAGGTTATTCGACCAAACGCTGGGTTCTTGAATAATTGTGGCGTCTCGTGGTTGTTCTTGAGACGTTTCGTGGCCATGTGGATTCGTATTAGGATGGTCCTGTGGCTTCGTGTAAGATGGGGCTATAATGAGTCATCTTGGATACCATCTCGAGATCCCTGGAATCATTTTGTAGCCATCGTGGGCCATCTTGAACGCTCTAACGCCCCGAGCCCTTGGGAGTCCAGACCTAGGCGAGGGGGTGGGGGAAGGGGTCAAGCTCCCAACGGGCACGCCACACATTGCTTCTCTTACTCCCATCAGATGCCGCCATCGGATGGATACCCACCTGGAACCAACACTACTGCCAGATGCGCGAATCTCGAGGTGTGTCACGTGTACCAGCGCCACCTGACTCAGCCACGCCAAGTGTGCTAGGTGTGCGATGGGCACAGAGCGCGCCAGGTGCGACAGAGCACGTGGCAGCACACATCGGGCAATGTGTCGATCCTTGACCATCCGAGCCAAAATCACTGCGAAGTGGCGGCGGGCTGGTCAGCAGGGTGTACGGTGTGTGTGTGTTTGTGCACCTGCAATGAGTTTGTAATGGTTGTTGACATGGATAGTGGGACAGCGCACAGCGGACACATGCCCCCAAACACCCGCCGTCCTTGTTTAGAACAAATGCAATCTGCTCGCGGGGGTCTCGGTCTCGATCCAGATTTTGCCGCCGAATGCACTGTGTAGTTTCGTTCTACAGGGAAGTCGGAGAGTGGCGCATGGAAGTGCTCTAATCCGCCTACGCCCAAAGGGCTGGTGGGATTTAATCGGCAGGGCTGCATCATTTTATGAACCTCTCCCGCCAGTCGCGCAACAATCGATGTGCCGGAGGAGCGTTGCGTTGGGGAGATTGTCGGGGCCGCATGAGTTCCGCGATTATCATGTCAGATACGGGCACAACTTCTTACATTCGCATTCAAACTTACCCAATTGGCATGATCACGTTCTCTGCAATACCCGCGCTTGTCCGCCAGGCAATAACGTCTTCGATGCCAGCGCGGAGAGGTAGTTGTAGCATGGGCGCAGTTCCATCGCTAGGCTACGGCACAGCAGGAGAGCGAGCGTGGAAGAAGCCACATCATATATCCATAGAGATGCATTTCGAACTCATTGTCATGGGTCGCATGCGGCAGGATTGAACCCTTCGCGTTCGTCATATGAATGTTGCATGGACGTGAGTGGGTACGGCAGGTTTGCGTCGTGTCGACGCGGCGGCGACCCCTAGTGGCACAGAATCAGCCACAATGGAACGATCTGGCGATCGAAACGCAGCCGATCGTTCAAGGTTGAAGGACCCAGGCGGTATATGCCTGGGTCGTGACGACACGTCACGAACTTGCCGTAGGGGTGGTTTGAGGTGCAGGCCAAGTAGCACATCCCAACTCGGCGTCTGAGGCGCGCCACGGATTACCAAATGCACGCCTGGCATTCTTACCATAGGGAGCATTGAGGATTAACGCATGATGCAGGATGTTAGCTAAGGGAAAAGTACAGGGGGGGAGTGACGGAACACAATTAGATGGTCGATGGTGCGAAAGATTTCGGAGAGGACGGTAACGTAATTTTCAAGACGCCGACACCCACAAGGAGGCTTCGAACCCAGATGATAAATCATCGCCCAGGGCGCTGCTGCGACGTGTCCCCATGACACTTTTTTACCCATCGTCGTCACACATGACAGCAAGGCTGCCTCCCTGAGAAACCCCTATACCGCTCATGCGAAGCATGCCCCACGAACTCGCAGCAACATGTATACACACATGTGAGGGCGAGAAATTCGTCCCTGTGGTGGTCTCGTTTGTGTGTTCCATATCCGGAACAAGTCTTGCCAGCTGTCAATTGGGTTTTTTTGGTTGTGTTGCTCTCGTTAGTCTCCCCAGCCCCCCAGAGCCTCCCTCCCTCGAATCGGCGGCGCGCCGAGGTGGAAAGTGGGAGGGGGTAGGCCTTTTTTTGAAGGCGGCGGGGCTTCTCAGCAGCCCTCCAACCTTTTGAGAAGCCGTCGGTATCTTCTGAGAAGGCTTCAGGAGCTTTTCTTTTCAGAAGTTCGAAGGTTTCTGAGCCTTCTGAGGAGGCCCACCCCCCTCTGCCTTCCCCCAGGCCTCCCATCGGGGGCCGAGGCGGGGAGGAGCCATGGATGAGACGAGGTCTCGTGGCAGACTTCTCGCGGCCTGGTGCGCGCCCATCCCAGGCGACAGCGCGCGGCCGGCGAGAGACGCCCGCGCTGGACGAAGGAGCGCCGAGTGGCGGGCCGAGAAAGTGCGCCAGCGCCTCGCGTTCCTCAGCACCGAGGGGAGGGGGTCTTTGGAGGCGCGTTTCCGCCGTTCTCGGGCTCTTGGTGCCCTCCCTCGGCTCCAGGAGCGCACAGAGGCGGTGTGGGATGAAGAGTTGGTCCTGGGGAGAGGCCCAGGAACCCAGAGCCGTTTCCACTAGGACCCCGCCCCTGCATGCCAAGTTTAGCCATGCCTCGCGTTTTCTCATCTGTTGACTTCGCAGATTGCTCAGAGACCCCAAATCGACAATTCTTGACGCTTCGCCTCGCTTTCTTTTTTCCTGTGTCTCTTGTCCCTCTTTGCCGCGTAGTTCTCGCCTCCTTTGTGGCCCCTTTTCCGTTTGTCGCCTGTTCGCCTCGCTTTACGACTTCCTGACGGTGCGCGGTTGGTTCCGCGACATTCGCGATCAAAAACGTATCCCCACCAGTACATCTAGAAACCATACCCAGGCGAGCTAGAGAAAGGAACCAGATGAGCAGACTGTGCAACAGAGAAGCCAACAGCAGCGAACTAGCACAGCGTCGCTGGAGCCCAAAAACTTGGCTCCTGGATCCGGGAGCCACCTCGGGCAACTCTTAGGGCCGTCCTGGCCCCTTTTCGGGCGAGTTTGGAGTCATTTTGAGGCATCAGTGGCCCATCGGAAGCGAAAACGCTTGAATGTTACACTCATTGAAGAACTTACTTCACCACCAGTGCTGCACTTAGGGGTTCTTACTTGTTAATCATAAGGAAATGGGGCTATCTGGCGGTCTGGCGGCTCCGTGGCCCCCCTCGCCGCCCCGTCGCCGCCTCGTCGCCGCCCGTCTGTCTGGGTTTGTCTGGCGGTCTGGCGGCTATATGGTCGCCGTCGCCGCCCCGTTGCTGTGGGCCTGCCCGTCGTTCTGGCGACTATGTGGTCGCCGTCGCCGCCCCGTCGCCGTCTGGGCATGCGTTCCTGTGAATTGCTTCGCGTTGCCTTGCATTGCATTACATTGATGTTCGTTGGTTAATTCGCGTTGCTCTGCATTGCGTTACATTGACGTGCATTAACTTGCATGCACGACATAGCTTGCACCACATATGTTGCACATAGATTGTACCACATAGCTGACACCACATATGTTGTATCACATAATCTTCACAGCACAAATGGAACCGCATAGATTGCACCATACATATCTTCCTGTTCTAAACGGATTTCGGATCGACTAACCCCCCGATGCCGGCATGATCCGCCCCGCCTAGGGACGTGGAGTTTACATGTTATGATGTTTCTTCACCGTTCATTTTAAAATAAAAATCGCACCATCCCAGCCAGGCCGGCATTGACACCCCCCTCACCTGTTGAAGGAAACCGTTGGCTCAAGGGAGCCATGGGCTAAACAACGAGTTGGTACCGTACACACCTCACGTCATGGAACGGACCCGCCTTGAGTCACCCGCTGCAGCGTGTGCTGACCTTGTGCGTCGAACGTGTGAGGGCAGTGGGAATGCGCATCTTTCGAGACCGCAAGAGAGAAGGCAACGCTTCCAGCAAAACGCGTTACAACAATCATGCATCAACACACAGTTTCATAACATTCTTCAATATGCCATGTGATGAGCCTTACGGTGAATTGCGGCATTCAGCAGCTATGGGCGGTTTCCCTGCTTACGATTTGCATTCGACGATTCCGGATTGTAAACAAAGTCGATGCGTTCTTGCATCATATGATATTCGATGGTAAAAAAATGGCAAGGGAGATGATGTTGTTCAAGATGCGTGGTCACCAACAGGAGCGCGGGAACCAATAGTTGAAGCGTCCAGTGCTGATATGATCACACTGGGGCATTCAATGCTGGCCAAAATCTCTCGAGGGCAAGCGGCTGCGCGCATTGTTGCAGCTTGGCGGCGGAGTTCTGCCGTTCGTAAAGAAGTCCGGGAAACTAGGCACATGGTTTTGGCAGACAATAACAGTGCGAGCATGCCGCCTCACGATATCTGCGTGGCTCGGAAATGCCCACGTGGACAGACAAGAGCGCACAAACTCAACCAATGCCGCTTGAACACGCTGCGCGCGCACCGGGCCGCATGCGATTTGCGCGGTCGCCAGGTGTCGAATGAGAAAGATTTTTCTCGCATGCGTTGTGCGCGTGGCAGTGTTGGCTGCAAAGACTTCCGGGCGTGCCTTTCGCGCAATGCGCTACCCAAGCGCCCGCACGACAGTAAGAGCGGGCATTTGGAGCATCACTTGTGAGCAGAAGCAGAGAGGGACCTGAACGTGCACTCGCTGCAGCGGAACATCTGAACCGCCTGCCCTTTCGGGGGCCGCTCCTCCGGGAGCCGGCACGCAGGCTCTTTCCTATTTTGCAACAACTGCTACACGCACACATTTTTCATTCAAATATATCTTCCAAGACTCCTTTGCAAAACAATGAGACGAAGCGCACGCGCGCGCGTCGTCGCGCGCGCATGCCGAAATCCTTCAAAAGCCGTAGTTGTTCAAGGATTTCGAAATCGAGCGCCCCGAAAACGCATCAAAACATGGCTTCGCAACCGGGAGTTTCAACAACGATTGCGGTCGCGGTCATGCGAAGTCTAAAGAGAACCATAGGTTGTTCGAGTTTTTCATCAAATCCGACCGAACGATGTTCGGCATGTCGGAATCATTCGAAAAGCAGTGCGCGCGTGTTATCGCAGGAGTCTCTTGCAAAGCGGGAGACGAAGTGCGCACGCGCCCGTCGTCGCGCGCGCATGCCGGAATCATTCCGAAACCTGTTGGTTTCGTAAGGGTTTCAAAACCGAGTCTCCCGACCCCGAACACACACACACACATATATAATATAAACAAATAGGCCCCCCCCCCCCCGGCGGGGCCGCCCACTCCGCAACCATCGGGGAACGCTTTTTAATACCCCCTCCCCGGGGCCTCCAAGGAGCCTCCAAGGAGCCTCCAGACGACCCAAGAGGCCTCCAAGACGGCCCCAGGAGGCCCCCAGGATGGTCCAAGAGGGCCCCGAGGCGGTCCCAGATCGCTCCAAGACGCCCAAGATGGTCCCAAGACGGCCCAAGGGGCCTCCAAGACGCCCCAAGAGGCCTCCAAGAGGCTCTCCAAGAGGGCCCCAAGAGGCTCGAATCGTTGATTTTCCATTGTGTTTTTCGATGTTTTTGGCTTTCTCTCCTTTTGGGCTCCCTGGCGCTCCAAGACGGCCAAGAGGCACCCAAGATCGCCCCAAGACGGCCCAAGAGGCCACCAAGACGGCCCCAAGACGGCCCAAGAGCGCCCCGGGACCGCTTAAGAGGCCTCGAAGACGGCCCAAGAGAGTCCCAACACGGCTCCAAGAAGGGGCCCAGACGCGGGATCCGAGCGCACTTTACGGGCCCTCGGCCCCAAGAGCATCCCCAGAAACCACTAGAGGCTCCCAAAGGCCCCCAAGAGCCCCCCGGGAGGCCCCCAAGAGCCCCCGAGCAGGCACCGAAACGAGCCCCATGCGATTTCGGACACTTTCATATGCACCCCTTCTTCCTTCCGATCCGTTCCGTTGAGCTGCCTGCATTGAGTAGCATGTGCATTGCATTTCAATTCAACAATAATGCTGTGAATCGCGCTGCATTTGCAACGTTTGGCGTTTGTTTTACTACTCGCATTGGTCTGCATGGCGTTGCATTCGATACGTCTGTGTGCGCCCTCGTGTGTACTACGGCCCTGTTCGGTCTGCGCCATTGTTACCTCTCCAGTTCATGCTCCTGCCATTGGTGGTTACGTGCACGCGTGCACATGTTAGCTTTGAGAGGATGGGGGCTGCTGGAACCTCAGCGCGCTCGAACTGCGCGTGTGGTGTTAGTTGGGGCCGAGGGTGCGAGCTTAGCGTGCACATGTTAGCTTTGAAAGGATGGGGGCTGCCGTTGTTTCTGTGGCCTCCTCGTCCTCCTCCGTCGGGACAGCCCATGTCTACTTAGCTGATCTCGGTGCCGACGCCCACTCCCTGACCACCCTCTTCCTCTGCAGCCTGGGGTGTCTCCTCGTCGTCGTCGTCGTCGTCGTCGTCGTTCTCGCCGTCGTGGTGCCATCACACTCGACGGCAAGCAGAGGGGGGAGGGGCGAGGGGGGTGGCCTTCTAAGCAGCCGGGGAGTTTCTAAGAAGGTGGGAGCCTCCTTTCAAGTGCTCGGGGGCTTTTAGGAAGGCTTCTTGAAGCTCTCCCGGCTTCTA